TAACCATGTACACACCCAATCATCTTGGACACATGAATATAAATCATGACATAAGTCGTTCCACCGAAACAGTGTCGATGTGACGCAAGTAACAGATGGGGACTGACCCACATCGTACCGCAATCAGCATCTTCACGAAGCATACCTGTCCCCAATGGACAGCCTATGGGTACGTCGACGGAACTCCTCGTCCAAGTTCTTCTGGGCTTCTCGTGCCCGGACACACTTCTTGTTGTAGTCCTCTGGCAACCAGTGCCCTTTCCGAAGGCACCAGTCCAGCAGGGGTGTGTCACACTTGTTCGGGTCGACGGCCGATATGATGGCGCTCACGTTGACCGCGTAACCATATTTGCCAAGGTTCAGGCCATCCCTCACGAATGATATATACTTACAGTTGAAAGCTAGTGCAAAGCATCTGAAAATAATATCACCCACCGGGTGCACTCGGTCCTTGACCAGGAGCTTCATTTCGTCCTTGGTGACATCGAGGATTCTCGCTGCAATCCACAGCTTGTAGAATGTGTATAGTCCCTCGCATTTGCACACCATCATACGAATATATTCATCACGCTCCTCAACCGATCGGAAGGCTCTTGTCCGAACATTCTCCGATTGAGAAATCTTCAGTGTTGTTGATGGCAAAAGTATACCTTCCTGATCGTGCTCCGTCATGTTGGGGTATCTCTTGAAGTCATTGTGGTAAGGGCAGCCCGGTCTCCCTTCGAGTTGGGCATTCATCGTCCTCTCTTCACCACCTTCGAACATCCCCCACATCTTGGACATCTGGAGTGCGATAAACCCTGCCATGTACTGAGCCTCACGCGGCTCGTCGAGGCAGATCGCCATCCGCTGGGAGTTTATAATATCCCGTGACGTCAGATCAGTGTCGCGGTAATACCAACCGCTGTCTTCCTCCTCCGACGCATATCCGGATGTATATCCTTGCGTGTCCATGTCGTCTTCTTCTTCCGGAACTTCCTCCGTTTCGTCTTCATCCTCCTGTGCTGCCGCATCGTGGTTAGCTTCTTCCTGTGCACGCCTGGCATCTCCAGAGACGTTGGGGTTTTGGTTGTCCTCCTCGTCATCGGAGTTGATGTGAATGTAGTATCTTCCGATGGAGATCAGTTGTGCCTCGCACTCCAGGCATAAGCAGAAGCAGGTGGGGATCGCGGTCGCACATGATGGACATATCCGGCACCTCAGTCCTTCCCATGTCTCATCATTCAGGATGACGACTTTGCTGATTTCGTCCCGGACCTCGTTGACCTGTGCGTTGAACTCCTCCATCTTGTTGTTTCGATAGAGTTCGCAGGCACGATTAACCATGTCAACGATGTAGTGCAGATTATCGGCACCTGTCTCAGTCTCCGGCATCCTCTCGCTGATCTTTGCGACGTTCTGGAGGAACATCGCAGCCGACTCTTGGGAAGAGTTGACAAAGCCAGGGCAGATCTCGTTCTCCACACACTTCGAGTACGCCCTCTTGATGTCAGCGTACTCCAGGCGCTTCCCTCCGTTGCTTTTGCCAATCCAAATGGACTTGACCTCATAGAACGGGATCACGTCAAAGACCATGAAAGTCCCATTAGCCGCGACTCCAGCCCCATACCGCGCGAGGGTTGCACTGGGAATGTAGATGATCGCAATCGGATCCCCTCTCCTCACGTTCCGCAGCGTCGTCTTCGTCGCCACGTTCATCTCATCCCATGGAGCGAACGCTCCGAAGTGCAGTGCCAGCCTGTTCCCGCCATCGATTCCGCCGGGGACTAACCCACACCGTCAGGATCCACAGCTGTACTTCGCGTAGCTGTTCTCCGGTTAGGAGCTGACGCCTTAACATGTATATTTGTGCGTTTGGCACGAAGCCAACAGTCACGAAAGCGTGGTTCGTGCGACAGCAACATCCATGCATCGGCCAACGCTCGACCTCTATGTGTCGGAGTAGGTTGAAGACACCTTATTGTGAGGTATTCTGTGTGGCGCAACGCGTGACAAAATGTAAGTCTTGCTTTGGGCGCGCTAGCCCGCTTATCCATGCTGTGCCGACATGACCCTGCCAAGCGCGATTGAGCCAAAATGAAAGGTGGCGCTTTGTGGCTTTCAAAAAATTGGATGGCCTACTGAGTTGCTTGCCCAAGACGTGCAAAGGTGAAATCAAAAAAAGCATTCCGGCTGTAAGTGCGCAAGGTTTGGTGGTTCAAGAGGCAAAGACTGAAAAGGGTTTCATGTTCCCCCCGCGGTTTGGAGAAACTATGGGCATCTGTTTAGCGCTGTTTTTTGGATGGTGCCCTTTTTCACCTTCTTGGGGTGGGCCAAAGGGAGCCCAAATGAACACCCGCAATTTTGCCCTTAAAGTCTTGATTCAGGGAGCTCAAATGAACAACCGCCATTGTGCCCCCTATTGACGATGCCTTTTTTCGTTTCTTGAAGTGGTCTAAAGGGGCAACCGCCATTGTGCCCTATTTGACGACGCCCTTTTTTGTTCTTTGAAGTGGTCTAAAGGGAGCCCACATGAACAACCGCTGTGTTGCCTGCCCTTTTTCGCTTTTGTGGGGTGGTCTGTAGGGAGTCCACCGTTCCCCCGACACGTACGACACGCTCGTAGTTCTGTTTTGGGTTGCTTCAAGGGAGCTAAAGACAGCTTTGGCCCCTTATTTTGACAAATCCATTTGCCACCCACGTGGGATGCAGAGCTGTGACGCCCAGTGTCCTACGCCGCCTGTTCAAACAAGCATTTGCGCTTGTGCAGAAGCAGTGCCACGGTACGCAGCCCTTACCTATACTTTGGGGGGAAGTGAAGGCCATGAGGCCGCCACAAATTCCCAATTGTCCAAGCGACTTTCTTTTGCGCATGCTCTGTATTTGTGCTTTGTCTGTGGCTTGCGCTGCCGCCGGCCGCACGTGGATGGGCGAAGCTTCTGCGTGGTTTGCCTGCGCAGGCGTGGTCGTCTTTCGTGTGGCGTCAGCTGTCAACACAGCCTTCCTCCGAATATCAACCAGGGTCAGAAGTTGGACAACCCTCGCTCAAGCGCTTTTAGCTGAAGTTGCGCAAACAGCCCAGTCAAGAAATTTTCACTGGCTGAGATTGTTTGGATCAAACTTGGACAGCCCTCTTCAACCATGCGCTGTCTTACCCTGGCACCAAAAACCAAGAAGGCTTGGATTGCCATTGTAGTTGGCCTTGATTTTGGATTTGTTGCCCAATCCCCAAACCCAAAGAGGGCCAGCCAAAAAAACAAGGCCTCTCAAACCATTCCAAGGATCCGATCTGGCCCCCAAGATCTTGCGGCGTTGGCCAACTGAGCATACATCAGGACTGCCTATATTTTGATATGGGTCTGTGCTTTCCGGGTGGCACCCTTTCAGGTGCTTTGGATTCCCAACTGCAAATCAGGCCAACAAAGGTCAAGTGACCACAAGGGGCAATTTTAACAAGTGACCTTTTTGGCTGGTTTTGGGGTGCAAAAAACGCCAAAAAAGGTCACTTGCTAAAATGGCCCCTGGTCAACCGCTCTTGGGGGGTTGCTTTGTTTTGGATACGGGGTGTGTGCTTTTTTGGTGGCACCCTTTCAAGGGTTTTGGTTAACTGAGCAAAACATCAGTGCTGCTTTGTTTTTGATGTGGGTGTGTGCTTTTGGATGGTGCCCTATCAAGGGTTTTGCTTTGGCGGGAAACCAGCAGGAACAAGTTTTGTTGTTGATTTGGTTCGGAGAGCTTTTTTGCTCACTGCCATACATAAACAAGGGTGGAGTGCGGGAGGCAAACCGGCAATGACATTTGCCTCATTTGTGTTTTGCAGCTGCTGCCCCCAAATTTTGGCCTGCCACCATGAGCGTTGCGCCCTTCGAGCGCGGCCTTTGCCCGGCATGGAAGTCGGTCCGCCACGGCAAAATTTCCTGGGATGAGAAGACAGTGGACGCTTTGTCAGCAAGGAAGTTGCAAATCGGTCGACACTTGCGTCGCGTCGCAGCCGTTGCAAAGTCAAAACAAATTGCCCGAGCCACCCCAAAAGCAATTCCTATCTGGGTGTCTTTTTTAAGCGTCCCCCAAAATGGGCGGGCTCTCCTGTTGGTTTCAACTGAAAAATCGAAAAGGGGGCGTCCCAAATTTGTTCTTTCGGGCCCTGAAGCCACAAGACAAATAAACTTAATTTGATTTGCTCTTCTATTGTCGCATCTCAAGACCTACCCCCAAGAAGGGTTTCCTTGAATGGGTTTTGCATTCCAGTTGTGTCTTTGTGAGTTCCCGTTATTCAGCGGTCGTTCAGGCTAAGCTCGCTGAGGGGATTCTTCAAAGTTTCCCAGAGCGCGCTTTGCAAATCATTGTGCACTCCGCCCCGGACAAGCCAGCAGGCAAGTTGGTCACCTTGAAGGATGATCTTAGCCGACCCTCCTACCGTGAGATCTCTGCTAACTATCTGGTCTTGCGACCGATCGTTGAATCTTCTCCACATGCAGCAGCTAGGCTGCAACAATTTTCATTTTCTTGGCAAGGTTCAATACTCTCAACACACAAGTCGGCAGTTGCTTGGAGAAGTGCCCAGGTGCCCAGTGGTTTCTACTTGGTGGACGTGCTGTTGTACTTGGACAGCCTGGTGGAGGGCAAGCTGTACGGGAACGGGCCCAACAGAGTTAAGTTGGCGACCTTGGATGCGAACCGCGTGAAAAAGCTGGTGGGCAGCTTGCGGTACCTGAGTGCGCATTTAATTTTTTGGGACCAACACAATGTTGTGTTTTTGCATCAAACTTGGAGGCAAACCGCCCCGACCCAGGTACTTGTTCAGGAACAGCAAGCAGTCGATTGACGAGCGGGTGACAGCTCTCAAGTCTTTGGTGCTGCCTTCACCGACGAGGAGCCGCAGCGCAGTTGCCTGGGCGCATTCCAATCTTTATTTCTTTCTGATGTCACCCAAGTTGTTCCCGGGAAAATGTTGATATGAATTTAGCTATAGTGCTGTTTCCTATCATAGTTGCTTCAACCTCTGCCGTTTGCGCTGCAAGGCTGGACGAAGCGAGGCGGAGGGTGACGCGGGTGGCGACGCTGAGGCGCAGGAGGAGCAGGGCAGCGACAACGAGGACGAGCGGGCGGAGCAGGGCGACAACGAGGACGAGCAGGAGCAGGGCGACAACGAGGACGAGCAGGAGCAGGGCAGCGACAACGAGGTCGAGCAGGAGCAGGGCAGCGACAACGAGGACGAGCAGGAGCAGGGCAGCGACAACGAGGACGAGGAGCAGGAGCAGGGCAGCGACAACGAGGACGAGGAGCAGGAGCAGGGCAGCGACAACAAGGACGAGCAGGCAGAGCAGGGCAGCGAGGACGAGGACGAGGATTGGCAGCCTGGGCCGCGCGACGGCAGCAGCGACTCGGAAACGTGCTCGGACTCGGAGGAGGACGGCAAGCTCTCTGCTTGTGAGGACGGTAGCGGGGACCACTACAACGAGACGCAGGAGGGCTGCACCTACGCGGAGGGCACGGCGGCTGACCTTTGCGTTGAGACTCAGGTTGATTGCCCTGACAGCGAGAGCTCCAACGGCGATGACGCGGCAGAGCTTTGCGAGATCTATGGCAACAAGCCCGATGAGACGGAGGAGCAGCAGAGTGTGGCGAGCTACACGCAGGAGGACGACCTGTCTGCGGTCAAGGACGGTAGCGAGAGTGAAGAGGTGATCCCGGTGCCCGCAGGCATGTTGCTTGGCGCCCTCACTTCGGGTGGCTCCGACTCTGACAGCGATGGGGACACGCTGCCTTGGGGAGCTCAGGCGGGCGCTGAGGCTGAGACGACGGCGTGCGAGGACAAGCCTAAGCTCATTCGTAAGAACGCTGCTTGCTTCGACGATGACCTGACGCCGGTGGGGTTTGCGGGGACGAAGGGGGCGCGTTTCCTTTTATCTAGACCTCTTTCAACGAATCAATCAGCAGTGGCAAACCCGAGTTTTAGGGTTTGGGCGGGTGGCAAACGGCCAAACGTTGTAAAATCCTTGGCTGAACTTTGGGGGCTGCAAACCCTTAGTTGAGTGCGGGCAAACCCTAGTTTGGGGGGGCCAAACCCTAGGGGGGCGTGCCAGGGAACCGCGGCTGGAACCGCGGCTGAACCGCGGCTGGTTTGAACAACAGACAACACCCACAAACACAAACTGTGACGCTCGCGGGCGGTTTGGGTGCGCTCAACTGTAAAAATGGCTTGCCCCCCCAAACTGGGGTTTCGGCGGCTTCCATTTTGCAATCCGTAGAACCAATCCAACAAGGATCCCTCTTGACAAAACACACGTTTTGGTTGACTCGATACTTTCGCCAATTAGTGCGAAACTCATCAGAAAGTCTTCAAATGGAATAGGAGGGTTCTCCTCGCGCTTTGGTTGTCAAGAGACCTTTTATCTTAATTTGGCCGCCGCAGGTGTCTATCAAGAAGCGGCCCTCCGAGACTACGAACCACAACCAGCCAGCGAAGAAGCCGTGCCTGTCTACAACACGAGTGACTGGCGAGGAGCTCCGGTTTGCCCGAAACTTGGTAAGTCGCCAACCCCCTCCTAAGTTTCAAAGCGTTGGGATCTAATCAGGTGGGTTGCGGCAAGTTTGGAAATCATCCCTTAATGAAAGAAATCAGGTGGGTTGCGGCAAGTTTGGAAATCATCCCTTAATGAAAGAAAGTTGCAGGACTCACAAGACTTGGCTGAAACGTTGGCTCTCCTGGGCAGTGGTACGGTTGAGAAACCCATTCCCCTGACTGTCGATGCCATCAAGATCCCCCCTTTGCGGCGCCCGACGTGCTTCAACGAGACAGTTGAAAAACTGAAGACTGCGGGGCCTACAAAAGTTGGCTCGCAGAGGGTAGCTTTATCTGATAAACAAGATATTGTGGTTACTTTGCCCATTTACTGTAGGGCTTGTGTTCTTTGCCAAAGTCTGCCTGTCGCAGACCCTTCCAGGTTGAAAAGAAACCCAAGGGCAAGAAGGAGGCTGACAAGGGCGCAAAGACTGCAAAGGCCGTTGCGCCCAAGGCATCTTTCAAGAGGCCTGGGGCCAAAGCGGTTGCCAAGAAGCGGAACGACACAATGATCGAGCCCGACCTGAACCCTGCTTCGCCTTTTTACGGAGAGTACTCGCTGGCATTCATCCCAAAGAGCGCGTGGCCAAGCTTGCAGCGTACTCACCGGGGTGTTCACAGTTACACAGTTGAGTACAAAGGGGCGTTGCTGGACGTTTTGCTCCGGTCTGCCGCTTTCTACGTGAAGCGGGCTGTGAAAGAGGGGCGGAGTGGCAGCGTTGCCTTTTCCAAGTGGGGCGGGCCAGAACAGGCCTGGAAAATTGCTTTGAGGTTGGCTGGCGTGCCGAATGAGGAGGATTAGGCCGAGCCCAATTTATGGACTATTTGACCATTAGGCATCAAGAGTCCCAAGAGCAAACCATGTGTTTCTTCAGTTTTGCCAACCGGGCTGAATGCTTCCTTTGCAGGCGCTGCCAGCTTAGATTTGGGGTAGGGAAGCAAAAGCGTCTTCCTAGGGGTTCCCACTCAATGAGTGGGTCGTTCGATCAGCAACGCAAGGAGAAAAAATTTGATCAGCCAACTTGCAGAAGTGCGACTGCTGTGTTTTCCAGACCCCTTAGCCAGACCCTTTTTGGTAGAAGTGCCGCCCCGCACATTTGCGTCCCAGCTACCAGCGGGTCCCGCCAGGCCAGCTGCGTGGACTTCGAGCCTGAGATCAAACGATCGAACAAGGCGTGCGCGGCCACGTCGCTTAGAGTTTGTGTTGCAGGGGCATCTTGTAGGCACACGCTCGTGCCAAACCATTTTGCGGGTTTGCAGGTCTGTTGTAAAGGTGAGATCCATTTTCCCGACCATGGCAAGCGCAAGCTTGTTTCTCTCTCATGGCAAACCCTCAATAACACGGTAGCATTTTGTGGAATGCGGCCATCTTGTAAAATGTGTGTTCAGTTCGTCCCAACAACATCCTGGGACTCAAATGGACGTGTTCCTGCATTTTCTCAACCATTAAAATAACACCCCCACCCCCAAACAAATGCCTTCTTCTAGGCTCTTCTTTCCCTCATGGCTCAAGTTGCGGGCAACCCTAGAAACCCTGTGGCATTTTGAGGACGGACCTTTGATTTGTCTTCAGGTTTCTGTGTCCATGCAAAACGAGGTGTTCAGCTCACCCTTTGCTTTACAATCAAAAAACACACCCCGCAGCACCCCCCTAAACAAATGCCTTCTTCTAGGGCCTTATTCCATAGCGGCTAACTGAAGAGCATCTCTATATTCATCGCATCAACCAACACAAATCCCCCGAACACCCCTTACTTGGATGCCTCTTCTAGTTCTAGTCGGCTTCTTTTTTTGCAATAGCTCAAGCCGTTCCTTGTAAGACGCTTCTCTTTTGGTTCCCATTCTTTTGGACCAGCAAGAGTGCTTTCCAAAGGGGGTGGAGTAGACAGGGTTGCTTCTCCTTCTTTCCAACGGGCTAGGGTGCCGTTGAAAAGGGGGCGGGTAAACTTGGTTGGCCTCTGGCCCGTATTCTTCTCAACCACAAAAAAACGCCTTCGACAAACGGGTGAAGCAGTCAAACCCCTCAGTCGCAAGGGGTGTCCCTGCCACTGGTTGCCAGTAGGTGGTTGCCACTGGTTGCCACTCAATGGTTGCCAACTGGGTTGCCACTAAATGGCTGCCACTGAATGGTACACTGCTCAAGCCTTTTCGCTTTTGCGGTGTTTCTGCCAGGCCCCTAGCCCTCCCAGCTTCCAGCCATGGGCAAAGGCAAGCCAGGCCGCCAGAGCTTGAAGGACCGGCTCGCCAAGGCGCCAGCTCATCTTCGGGCTGATGCTCCTGAGATGGGCAAATCCTACCGCGAGAAGCGGAAGAGGTGGATTCTTGCAGGACTTAGAGTGATGCGGGCCCCGGCAGACCCTTGGCTTTGGGGCAAGTGCTTTATCTCGCAGGGCTTTCTTGTCGCCAACTTGAAGCATAAAGCGTTAACAACTGTTTGGTCGCGGCGGGATCTACCAACAAGGTTGTTGCATTGATCGTTAGCATGATCTTCGCTGACAAGCAGTTCAAGTTCGACCCCAGCGACACTATCCAACACTTTGAGAGCTTCGCTGGAGACATGAGTGTCACCCTCGGCGAGATTAAGGATAGGTATCTCTCTCTCTCTCTCTTTCTCTCTCTCTTTCTCTTTCTCTTTCTCTTACTCTTTTGCGAACCAAACAAATTTCCTTTGTCCTAGAATGAGGCTTTGTTTCTCACAAGCAAGCTCAAGTTGTTTCAAAGTGATAACACTGAGGCGTGCCAAGCTCTGTGCAATCTTGAGCCACCAACACTGAAAAGCCCCTTGTGTAAAAGACGGAGCCCCCCCTAGAGAACTTAGATAACCGTTTATATGGTGTCCTTAGCAATTAGCAATTGCTGGCCAAACATTTGCGAATTGCGCCAGGAGAGCAGGAAGGCCGTGGCCTACGACATCCGCTATGACGATGTTGGAATGAACCTGCTTACGAGCCAGGGATTCCTGCACGCCTGTTATCAGGCGGCGCGCTTGGAGATTGGCTCCGGCAGCCTAGCTGCCCCTGTTTGCAGCAGCTTTGTATACTTGCATCCTGACCTAAAGCTGGTTCGTTTTCGATTGGTAAGTCACTCTGTCGATTGGTAAGTCACTCGAACCCTTGTAGCATCTTTCTGCGACCTGTTACTTCAGTGTTTGTGATCTGCAAATCTAGGAGTCGCGGAACAAGCATGCGTTCGGCGCTGCGGCCGTGCGGTGATGAATCAGTTGGCTTTGTCAAAGACGGGAACCAGCTCCTTTGTCGGACCCTGATCGTACTCATGATCGCAATGTCTGTTTCTGCCTGGGTAGTCCTGGAACAGCCGAAGGGATCATTGATGGAACGTCACCCCAAGTTTGAGGAGTGGGCCCGCATGAGCAACATCGTCCGCCAGCACGTCAGGATGGGCAATTATGGTGCTCCGAGCCAAAAGCCCACGTGGCTGTACAGCAGTAACTTGGCCTCATGTTGCGGTTGACCCCTTAAAATTCGGCTGAAAGTCAATCCAAAGCCCGGCGCTTGTTCTGCGCGAACTCTATGCTTTCAGGGTCATCCTCTTTACACACATCACACAGAACAATTGGCTTACACAGAAGTCGCGTGAACTGGTTTACTGTTTTTGGGCACGGTGTTCAACATTGGTCTGCCTACTGGTCCCACCAACCTTGTAAATGTTTAGGGTTTCCTGCTAAAGTCAGTTGAACATTGCTTGAAACATGTGTCCCCAGATCGACCAGAGATTGCCGACATCCTTGACTTCGAGCAGCCCTCTTCTGCTGACCCATCCACCCGCATGGTGGAAAGATACGTGGACGGGCGAGGTGTTTTGCGGATCAAAGGGGGAGCACACCTCAAACAAAGCCAGTCGTACCCTCCATGGCCCTCCGCTAAGTTGATTGCCGCCAAGTCACATGCGTTTGCCCAAACACTGCCACGACAGGGTTGGCCTCGGTCCTGTGCCCAGGTTTGGGGTGGCGCTCGCAAAAGTCCGAACCCGACATGCCGATCAAATCCGGCGTGAGGCCAAGCGCACAATTCGGCACAATTTGAAAGCCGCGAAGAGCATTCCAAGTAATCACCGTGCAAGTGCGTCATGGATCAAGCAGGCTAATTTGAGGCCGGTGCTTGACTTTTTGACTCATGGGTGATATCTGGTATAACTTGTCTGGGTGCCACCTCGATGAGAATCCTCGCTATCGGTAGGGTAATGTCACCCCAGTTTCGCAAGTTTCGCGCTGGGACTCGTAAATTCATGATTCGCATAGGCCTTGACAAATGGCTGGTGCGATGGAGCTCAGGGGAAAAAGGGAAAGAGCTTGCTGTCAGTTATTTCCATCAGCTCCTCCATGTTTGTTCCCAACGATTGTCAATTATCCTGCCCGGCAGGCCTCGTGGTCATCCAGGAGTGCCCAAGGCCACAGTTGCCCAAGTCCTCCAGTCCTCAGCTCGACTGGCATTGTTGCAGGTATGCCTCGCTTCGTGCTGAAACATCATGGACCAGGCGACACGGCGTGTTTTCTCGTTTGTTTTAAACTGGTTTCGTATTTTCGCAGCCGCGACCTGTAGGGAACTCAGCCGCGACCTGGAGAGAACAGCCGCGACTTGTATCCCCCCCAAAAAGTCAATCAATTTGCACGCGTTGTTTTTGTTTCTAATGCAAAGAACACCGAAAACTTTTGACGAAAACCCTTGGCCCTGGATAACCCTTGGCCCTGGATCTGTCTTGGTGGGGATTCCCTTCAAACATATTGTTGTGGTGGAGCCCGCTTGGATCTTCAAATGAGTTTCACGGCCGAAAAGCCCACATCGAACCTTGATCAATCTTCAAATTAGTTTCTTGACCAAAAAAAGGCCCACGTCTGACCTTGTTGAATCTGCGGATGAGTTTCTGATGCTGGCGATGCTGATTCAAGGAAGGGGCAGGCTCATTTAGCCTGCGCGGTGGCTCTTTTTGCCGGCCAAACGAGCCCGCCAGAGTTTGCTGATGCTGAGAAACCAAACCCAGTTTTGGTGGGTGTCTTGGCCAAACAAAAAAGCCCACATCTAATCTTGTTGAATCTTCCTATTCTCCATAGCAAAGGATACTGTGTGGGTTCAGAGATTGCCTCGTCAATCGTTACCGGGGTCCGCATTCAGCCCTTCTTGGCTCTTTGAGGCGTGGTGCCCTAGGATGACGGACCCCCGCAAAAAGGACAAGACGGCCTTTTGGGAGAAGTACAAAGTTGCTCTCGATAGGCCTGCCAAGACTCCGCCAATGCCGGCTGCCGCTGAGCAGCCTGAGCACAGGGTGCGTGGCAAAAGCTCTCCAGCTTCTTCATCAACCAGCCCAACCGCCCGAACAAAGCGACATTTGGAGGAGGTGGGGGCGCAGAAGGAGAACAAGAAGCAGAAGAACAGCCAACAAGAGGCAGAGGACAAAAAAAGAAAAGCTGAGGTTGCAAAAAGTGAGCCAAAAAAGAAGAACAGGATCCCAGAGGCTGAGGAGAGGAAGCAAGCAGCAGCAAAGGAGCTGGAGCAGAAGAAGGCTGTTGAGGAGAAGAAGGGAGCGAAAGGAGGTGAAGAGCAGAAGCAAGATGAGGAGCGGCGCAAGGTGAAGGACGGGAAGAAGAAGAAGGCGAAGGATGCGAAGGAGGGCCAAGAAGAGAAGAAAGCAGAAGAGGCCGAAGAGAAGGGCGCTCCGCAGCATGCGCAGGGAAGCAAAGCAGCAGCCAAGGAGGCCGAGGAGAAGAAGGCAAAGTGCGCCGAAGAGAAGAAGAAAGCAAAGGAGGCTGAGGAGCAGAAGAAAGCAAAGGCGCAGGAGCAGAAGAAATCCAAGGAGGCTGAGGAGCAGAAGAAGGCGAAGAAGGTTGAGGAGAAGAAGAAAGCTAAGGAAGCAGAGGAGCAGAAGAAAGCTAAGGAGGTTGAGGAGAAGAAGAAAGCTAAGGAAGCAGAGGAGCAGAAGAAAGCTAAGGAGGCTGAGGAGCAGAAGAAGGCGAAGAAGGTTGAGGAGAAGAAGAAAGCTAAGGGGGCGGAGGATCAGAAGAAAGCTAAGGAAGCCAAGGAGGCTGAGGAGCAGAAGAAGGCAAAGATGGTTGAGGAGAAGAAGAGAGCTAAGGAGGCTGAGGAGCGGAAGAAAGCTAAGGAGGTTGCTGAGGAGCAGGAGAAAGCTAAGGAGGCTGAGGAGCTGAAGAAAGCTAAGGAGGTTGAGGAGAAGAAGAGGGCAAAGGAGGCTGAGGAGGAGAAGAAAGCGCAAGGAGAGGCAGCGGAGGAGAAGAAGAGGAAGAAGAAGAAAGCTAAGGAGGTTGCTGAGGAGCAGAAGAGAGCGAAGGAGGCTGAGGAGGAGAGGAAAGCACGGGCAGAGGCAGCCGATAAGGAGAAGAAGAAGAAGGCTAAGGAGGTTGCTCAGCAGCAGAAGACAACAGAGGAAGCTGAGGAGAAGAAGGAAGTTGAGGAGGCTGAGGAATTGGCAGGAAGGGGGAGAAGAGCAGCGGAGGCAGCGCTGGAAGCTTGCGAGAAGAAGAAGAAGATGGCAGCAGGAGCAGCGAGTGTTGACCTCATCACCCCTGAGCGGAGCTCGCGGGCAGACCCAGCTTCGACAAGGACAGGCGAGAAGATCTCAAAGCTTTCAGCGGCCTTGACCCCGCCACCCAAAAGGAGCCGGGAGACCCCAGTCCCTTCAGAGGCATCCGCCTCCTCAAGCGCGCTGGCGGACATTGACAAAATGAGAAAGACGCTGGAGGACGCCAAGCAGGCAGGGATGTCTGTGGAAGATTACATGGGGAAGCTGTCGGCCAAGGCTTTGAGTGATGCTTTGGAGGAGGAACTGGGGCTTCCTCCTAGCGAGTCGCTGAGCCTTGGAGGGATGAGTGATGAGAGTGAAGAGGAGAAAGATGAAGGAGATGATAAGGAAGGTGGAGGAGACGCGAAGGAAGATGAGGAGCAAGAGGAGGCAGCCAAAGGCGGTGAAGGCAGCGATGATGAGGACATCGCTGCTGAGCTCGATGCTGGCAGCAGCGAAGCAGGAGATGGTGAGGAAACCGAAGAAGAACAGGAAGCAGCGTTTGACGCGGAAAACGAGGCAGAAACAACGGAAAACGAGGCAGCGGAGAGCGAGGCAGCGTTGCAGGAAGAAGAGCTGCAGGAGCAAGAGGAAGGCGAAAGCACCGACAGTGAGCTGGCTGAGTCAGAGCCAGCCGTGCAGGAAACAACGTCAAAAAAGGCAGCAGCAGAGGTCGTGGCTGCCTCCGAGCAGGCAACCCAGCTTGTGCGTGCAAACTCAAAAAGCCACAAAAAGCACTGGGATCGCTTTAGCAGGCAATGCTGCAACCGATCCGTGTTTCCACAAGCGCTAGCGCCGGTGTACGCAAAAGATAAAGTTGATTTGTTCAACGAATGGCTACGCCAATCAGAAGACTGGAGCAAGAAGCCCGGCTGCAACAAGATACCAAACACCCTTCTTTATGTTTGTGCGATTCGCTGATTTTGGCCGAGAAGCCAAGGGTGGAAATCAGCTTCAAGCGGAGGGTCGCGACGACCACCAGGAGCCTCGCCGGCCTTGTGGCGGTCAAGGTGCGGGACTTGAAAACCCAGTATCCAGCGGAGCAGCTGGGCTGCACACTTGTTTCGAAACACATGTTGCCGCCTTTGTTCCCATTTTTTCTGGGGTTGCAACCCCTGAATTTTGCAGGGTTAAGGTCCCGGTTGCAAGGCCCGCGGCCACGGAAACCCATTTGGGGGCCTTGTGTGGCGCAACGGAACCCCCAAAAATTCCCAGAAATTTGGAGGGTTTCCACGCGCAGCTTCTGCGAGCGAACAGGTAACCCCCCCCCTTTTTACAGGGTGCGATCATCCAAGCCCTCTCCGATTGTGTGACCCCCCAATTCCTCCCCCAAAACCTTGCCATTTTTTGTGCGTGTGTGGGGTTGCGACTAGGTATCCCCCAAACCCTTGACCGTGCTTTCCTTGACCATTCTTTTCCGGGGGTGGAACCACGGAAGCCCTGAACTGTAAAACGTTCTTCATTTTTGCAGGGGATGATTAACACTCTTGTCCTTTCATGTATTTAAGCCCCCCTCCCAAACCGTTCCACTTTGATCTCGCCCGAGGAAAGCAGATCAACTGGTCCGAAAAAGAAAAGAGAACGGGCTGTGGTACTGGGATGAGGATTTTGAGGGCGACACCGAGGAGTGATGTGAAGTTGGCGCGTTTTATTGAAGCCCGGCCCCCATATTTGACACAGACCCGAATTGTTTTCGAAGACGTTCCAAACGTGAGGGGGGTGTTGAGTAGTCAAGTTCTGTCTTGCAGGAAATGTACGTCTACGTCAGGGACCCCAAAAAGATCCAACATTGGACTGATTGCGAAGAGTCCGCTGAAGCCACCATCAGGGACAGCGGCAATGCGGAGTTGGCCAACGTCTTGCTGGAAGAAGGGGGGATGTTGGGGCCAGGCAACATGCCTGCTGTTGATGCTCAGAACCAGAAAGCCCTGTTGAACGCATTGACGCCGGTGAACCCAGTGACGAAGCCGAAGCCGATCAAAGCAAACAAAGAGCCCGAAGTCCTAAAGCCAAAAGAGGTTTGGGAGCCGGGGCCTCACGTTTCTGCACGATTGTCTCGTTTCGCTGTGTCGGATTCCCTTGCAAACTTCTGATCTTGAACCTTTAGTTATATAAATCTGTATATGTCACATCCTCTTTCCAAGCCAAGGTGTGGCCAGGAAAAGCTGGAGATGACGCTGAAAGCTGCTGGGGAAGCCAGGAAACACGCAATCTCCCTTGGGCACGTCGAGTATGGGGGGGCATTGGTTTCAGAGCTGATGGACTTCTCAGTGAAAATGGAGCAACTCTATTCTGAGCTGCAGCCGCTCGTGTTGTCGAAGGTGAATGACGAGTCAAAGTACCAGGCAACCTTGAAGAGGATCGAAGGGAAGTTGGAGTGGTTCAACAACAAGGCTAAGGCAGGGCTGGCAAATCAGGTGTAAACACAACTCTTTGCCAAACACTCGTCATGGCGCAGGCTGCTGCTCAAGCCCTCCAACGAGGCCTGAAAGAAAAAAAGGCCAAGGCGCCGAAGTCTGCGAAGTCGGCCAAAGCTTCTGGGGGTGAGAAGTCCTCTGCAGAGCCTGCCGCGTAGTTCCTAGGGCGCGCGGTTTCTTACAGCTGTGCCAGCAAAATGCTGGCTGCAGTTATGGGGGAAAGGCAATCTGAACACGGGAACCAATTGCTAACTTATGCTTGTTCATCATCATATGTTCCTCGGTTTCTCAACGACTGGACGCCTGTGAGTGTGATTGCTCTTGGGGGTTATTGGACATTAGATGGCAACAGCCGCATCTACCGCTTTCTCGGAAAAAGTCTCACAGGGGCCCGAGTTTTGGAAACATGATGCATTTGCTCTGACTCAACTGTAACTGCCAAACTTCCTGTCCCTTGTTGCAGGTTCTCCCAAACAACTTCCTCCTCGTGACCATCATGCACGCAGGCAGTGGTGACTTGCAAGCCTCCTACTTTAGTGATTTTGACTGCTTTCCAGGATGCCGGAGAGACGGGCCCCCTACGAGTCCTTGCCTCACTGCAACACTGCTGAAGAGTACATCAGCCGCTTACATGGCATTAGCCAGCAAACGCTTGTCCCACGGTCCTGTTTCACTTCCACCCGATTCTTAGGCATGATTGGATCTGGTCGCTCTACTATCGCAGAGTGCGCCACGTTGGCAAGGGCAAACCTGAAAGACAACATGCAGAACCCCGCTTTGGTGGCCTTTGGAAGTTTGGGGGCCCACGGGTCATGCGAAAGCAACCAAGAGCGTGACCTACACCGGTGGTTGCGGCACATACATGGTTTCCAGTTGGCTCCCTATAGGGTAGCTATAAAGCTTCACGCGCCTAGGATGCAATTGGCGATTTTGCTTGTTCTCTGGGGCACACAAGGGCAAATAGCTTTCTGTCCTTGAGGTTCCTGGCAAAGCTGGACTTCAAGACGTGTCAGTCCCCTTCGTGCTCCCTCATGAAATCCTACATCACGTGGCTATGGCCGGGGAGTACCAGGCGCATGTGTCCACAGTTCGCAGTTTATCTCTCACACAAAACGTGGCTTTCCCCTGCCAGTTTTCGCTGTCCATGCTCGGCAACCGGTCGGAAGACGACTTGAAGAACTTTTGGGATCACTGCAGTTGCTTTGATGAGTGGTCGCAACACGAAGTGCTGATGGACCCTACTCCTATTGACCGGAAACGTTTCTTGTCCGATAGTAATTTTATTTGGTACCTACACCCTTTGATGGGCACCCTTTGTCATTCTGCCTAGGTTTGATCCCTTGTCTGCTGCATCTGGATGGTGCTGAGTTCTACAGCAACTGCGAATACCTGGTTTGGAGCATGGCTTCAGTGTTTGGAAAAGGGTCAGCGTCTGGCCTACATTAAATACACCTTTTGCTTGGCAGTCTTGAACCTTGTGTGTGCTTGGGGTGTAGCTTAGGTGTGGGACACCAAGTTTCCTTGCTGCATAATCCCCCACTCAGCCATGGTTGACGCCAAGGCGCCACGCGCACCAAGTTGCATGCTTGAACTTGTCGAAGTACACCTTGCTGTTGGGGAGGTTTGCCGCGATGCCCTTAGCTGCAGGTCAGGGATGATGTGCACGAGACGGTGGCACGGGTGCTGGCGTGGTCAATGTCTCAGGCATCTCTTGGGGTGTTTCCAAGCGTTGGTGCTTTGGGCGAGGGCCTATCCGGTGAACGGGGTGATCTGGCAGGAACCGTCATTGCCAACGGATGGAGAATGGCCTATTTTGGGATGAAAGCTGATGCCAAAGCACGTTTACAGTGCAATTATTTTTCCCGTTCCTACCAGCATGCCAAAATTTGTGAATCTTGTGGCGCCGCCAAGCAGCATAAAGATTGGGACCCTTCGATGGACTACAAAGATTTTTATGACGACGCGCCGTACCTCAACACTACCATCAGTCAGGGACTTGGGCAAACGGGCATGTTGGTGCAGTCGGGCAAAGCCGCTGAGGTAATGAGGAGTATCTCCGGTCATCGCCAAGGGTGAGCCCATGGGCTATTATGCCAGGGTGGCACTTGGGAACCGTTTTTCGTGACCCGATGCATACAATTTATTTAGGAACTGCAAAGCTGCTCATTAGCAGCGTGTTGGGCCTATGGATTTCCCGAGACATATTGGCGGGCAGTGACCTAGCTGAGAAATTGTCCAAGTTCAGTGTGGCCATGAAGCGAGCCTTGAAATCCCAGGGCATGCGCGTTCCTTTCCAACGATTCACTCCTGCGAACACTGGGCTCGACAAGCCGTCCCAGTTCCCGGAGTTGGGGAGTGCGTTCAAAGCTGCCAACATCAAATGCTACTTGTGGTACATTTCGAAGAAAGCAACTGAGTTCGCAGAGGCCTCACCTCGGGTGCAACCCTAAGCTGTTTCTTTTTGTCGCATGTGTTTTTTTTCAGAATCGCAACACCCCTGACATGAGCGTCTAGGACACCCCTCTGGAATTGATAGCTTGCTGCTGCTGGAGCTTGTACCGGGCTTTGCACCTACTGGACCGCAACGACATTTTGCTCCCGCAAAGAGACGCTGAGGACATGCTTGCTTGTCCAAGTCAAAAAACAAACAATCGCGGTTGCGCAGGAAGTGCACAACTCTATCGTGACCCACTTGCAGTGCTGGCAGTGGCTGGCTGCCTTTTGTGTACAGGAAGGCAAACGCCTCTTTTTGCTGCGGCCGAAACACCATATGCTATTGCACATAGGGCAAGATGCAAAACGCACACGCCTTAATGCTCGTCTGACAACATCTTGCTTTCAAGATGAATCCTTTCTAGGATACCTCAAGCACATCGCTGTGCGGTGTCATTCGGCTACGGTGCTTGAGCGCACTTATCAGCGATATTTTCTATTCTTAGGCTTGCGCTTCGAACGGGGTCGGCGCATGGCCTGCCCAAACAGCCCTTGAAAAACATCTTTGCTGCCGAGCGTCAGTCCTGAACGTTTGACGCCCAAAGCGTCGCAGCTGCGGCTTTGCTTGCGTGTTGGGTGGCTACCTTTTCAGAGTGTAGTGTGAAAAAAGTAAAGAGGCCCCTTTCCCTGAGTCTAGGTTTCTTTGGTTGGCAAGCCTGAAAGCAGAAAAGGCCAGCGCAGTTGAACTCAATGTCCAATGTCTCATCGCTCTGTTTCTGGGGCAGCTTTTGTGACCATCTTATTTGACTAACGTGCAGGTTACCTGGTTTGGGGGCCTTTCTTTCTTACACCCGATTTTGCAAAACAAGGGTTGGGTCTCTACACTCTTCGAACGTCGCTACTGATTATTTTTCGACCCTTTCTGAGTAAAGACGCCGAAACAAAAGTTTTGTGTTGTCATCACCCATCCCCGGGTCCCAAGCCCTGCAGACAAATAAGGGGTAGCGCAAGCTCAGACCCACCCGGCCACAAGAACAGACGCACGCGGCGAGACATAGTCATGCGCAGCGCGTGCAAGCGCGACACATGCGCAAAGATGCACGCGGCGCACGTGCGCAGACACATGCTTATAAGGCGCGCGCGTAGCAGACGCGAGAGCGCGCGCGCGCCCACATGCACACACAAACGGAACGCGGAGACCAGCAGACACACACGCGTGCCGGCGCAGACAAACCTGGTGCGGCGACGCGGGCGCAGACGCACCCACACCCCGACGCGCGCTTACAAACCGAAGCACGCGCGCTGCTCATGAAGAAGTCAATCGCACCGCAACGCGTGGTGGCTTGCTTCACATGTGGACACACAAAACCGAACGCACCACAACACACAGCAACTTGTTCGTTTCTTACTCCACCTGATGTCCGTGCGTGATCAGGTATATAGGCTTATTTGCGCATGTGTGTTTATGCATATATGTATAGCACATGGCAGGACTACAGTAGGGTTTTTGAAATACTTTTGTGGAAGCCCTCATTTTTTTGGCTCAAGCTGGTCTGCAGATCTGCGCTTGGCTCTGCCTTGCTACGCAGCGAAAAGAAACACGGGCTCAACTTGCAAAGTTGTCACTCTCCCCTGGCTCAGTTCGCACTTGCGAAGAGCAACAGGCTCAACCTGCAAAGTTGTCACTCTCCGCTGCGTGGCTTGCCATCGCCCGACGGACGCTGTCGAGGTGAGCCGACAGCGTTCTTTGCAAACGATGCATGTGCGCCGCGGCGTATCGACGGCGTGTCCTTGCAAGCCATGGAAAATGTTCTTGGCCATGACAAAGAGGCCACTCGCGCAATAGGTCGCAGCGCGTCGAGAGCGTTTCACTACAAACGACATCGCTGCGCCCGCTGCATGTCGGTGCAACATCTACGCTGCCGCTCGTTGATGAACGCTGTCGATTCACCACGATCGCGTTCCTTTAAACGATGAATGAGCCGCGGCGTATCGAAATTGTTTCCTTGCAAGCCATGGAAATGTTCTTAGCCATTTGCAACTCAACGCGGCCCCTTGTGCAATGAGCGTTGTCGCATCTGCGCCCTTCTACACGCTGTCGTGCGTTGCTGAACGCTGTCGTGGTGAATCGACAGCGTTTGCCCGCGAACGGCAGCGTTATATGCTTCACGACAGCTGTCCTTGCCACACGACAGCTGTCGTAGAGAAACGACAGCGTTCTTGTTGACACAGCTCTCGTGGCGTGATTCAGCTGTCCTTAGGCGAGCTTTGGATCCTGACGGCAGCGTACGATGCTTGGCAGGTTTTCCACATACGTCACATGGAACGCTCCTCCGAGAGAATCACCCATTCTTGCGGAATACCTGTTCGCCAGTGCGGATGAGCTCATGAATCCAAAATCACTATGACCAGTTGTGACTCGAATGCACCAAGGTCTATACCATCCATCGCATCTGTTGAACATCCTGTCGATGTCGTCCCGATCCACGCCAGCTTTGGTCATTTCCTCCCTGGCCGCCCTGGTGTCGTTCGGGTTCATGATGCTCGGAAACCTTGCTGCCAGGACCTGAAATCTCGATTTCTTGTGTCCGGATTCCTGCCACTTGATCACCTCCATGATGCCCATGTATCGTTTCGCTCTCGAGGTGTTATGTGGGAATATGTCGTTGTTTTGGTCGTCAATGACTGCATCAATGTCGACCCAACCACCTTCGTCGCACCTGAAAGCACTTCTTCGGCAATTGCCGATTTTGTGTCGAAGGACTCTGCATAGGTCGTGAGATAGCTGGTTTGCTTGGTCCCTTGTGGTAAATACCGAGCGATCATCACCAATCCTGCATAGTGGAGCACCGTCGAAAGGAGCAACGCAGAAGTTGACACTCTTGCCAAGTTGCATCACGTCCACCTGCTCTAGGATTGCACCTCTGGGAAAGTACCTGGGGTCAACAATAGACGCGTATGCCCGTGGCATATGCACATCAATTATGTCGCCGTACTTCGGGATGTAGCACGGGATGGTGTCGCATCCCATCTCGAGCGTCTTCTTGAATGTCCTACTGTCCCCGCACGGGTTGTAGGTGAGGTCGACGCCGCCACATTGTAGCTCTCCTCCTTCAGCTGTGTCGGCCATCTCCACCAAGTTAATGGTGTAGCTGTACATCTCAATTGTTTCTTTCCCTGCTCGCCCTCCTTTCTTTCTTTCCTTGGACGTTGATGAGGACGGTTCCTCCGTATCCCCCATGTCTTCATCAGATGAAACAGGGTCGCTGCTGAGTAGCTCACGGAGCATCTTCATCGCCTTCTCAGTTCCAGCAGCCTCCTCAATGTCCTTGCAGTCGCCGTCGTGGGCCAGGTTCGCGCACTTCTTGCAGATCCCCATATCTCCCATGCACTTCTCCATTGACTCCAGGAATCCTAGTGCCGCTCTCCGCCCGTCGAGCACTCGCTGCTTCTTGTCTTCCTTCTCAGCGTTGGGCTGAGAACTTCGACTCGGGTCTGGTGCTTGACCAAGACCCTCATCTTCGCCCTCCGTGGCCTTTCTCTTGGAACCTTGTGCAGAGGGCTCGGTGATCAGGGATCGTGGATGTCTGGGCTTGACCTTGTTCATGATGTCAAGCACCTCCTTCGTGGGCACGCCGAGCTGTGCGGACGGTTTGTTCCGCTTTCTGTTCTGGCCCGTCGTGTGGGTCACGTTCCCAGCGAGGTGTCGCACTATTGACTGCTCGAACTCCCTCTTGATCTTCCATGCATCCTTCCACAGTGGCAGTTCGTGCTGGAAGTACGACATCACCTCAAAGAATCCCAACACCATCTCGACGACGTCTCCCAAGGATTCCTCGTTCGTGGTTTGTCCCAGGAGTTCATACATCGTTCCTTGGTCGAGCACACTCTTGATCCAGGACGAATATGCCACATTGCCAAGATCCTTGTCTATCAGGAAGATAGACATCCTCTCCTCGACTCCCTCGGAATTCTTGCACACGAACACATCCCGGGATGCGCACAATTGCTTCCCGTGACCGTTGTTGTAGAACTGCGCTGCTTGATCCACAGTCATGCTCACGAATCCAACGTGAGAAAGCTCCTTCTTCAGCCTTGAATACGCGAGCTCCCGTATGATCGTGATCATGGCCTGGATATTGTTGACGTCCACCATGAGGTTTTGAAGGTCGGGGATTGCCACCACGCATTCCGCGAAGAGGCGCGTGTACATTTTCTTCCCCTCGATAGACATTGCAATACCGTTCGTGTCCGCGTTCCAGTTCGCGCAACAGTTCACGCAAGAAGAGGGATTGTACTTCGAATTCGGTCCGAGCACCTTCGACTTGCTCATCTGCATCTCTTTAGCGCAAAGTTCGCAGATAAACTTGCTGAGCTCCGTGACCGTATACCATCGAAGACGTTGATCACCGACATCGGCTTTCCCAAAAGCATCCTGCTCGCCGTGTCCTTCATCTTGCTGCTCTTGTTTCCTCTTCGACTGTGCAGTGAAGGTCGGCTTGTACTCGAATTTCACCTTCGATTCCTCCATGTTCTTCGGGATGTTGAATCGAAGGTCGGGCTCGTTTATGCACGTCTCCTCCAGCTCACGCACAAACGCGTTGCTTGGTGCGACCGCATCGATGGATTTCTCAATCAGCAGTCGCTTCAAGAGGAAATGTTGCAAGTTCGAGCTCCCAGGGATCTTGTAGTTCTTTCCTGTGAGCGCATGAACCACGCGCCACAGGCGATCGTTCTCGGTCACCAGCGCGCCTGCCGCCTTGCAGATCTCGCTAACCTTATTGGCGATCGTCCCCAAGTCCCCTCTTCCACCATGGAAAGCAACATCGCGATTCACGCACACCACGACCAAGCCCTTGCATGTGCTGACGAGGTCAGAAATCGCTTTCTGTAGGGAGTCGATGATGGGGTTGGCGGTCACCTGCCATCCGCATCCTCTCATGCACACCCAATCGTATAGCGACATCCAAATGTGCACCGACATAGGTGAGTCATCCATGTCTCGCCTCCGCCGTTC